TGGGAATGGCCTAATGAATATAATTAAGCAGTGGTGTCATCTGATTGGCAGAAACCATCATTCCGCCCTTCATTTATCCCACTTTGTGATTGGCTCCTTAGAAGCAAACCAGCCTCAACTCATCTGTCTCCTTATGTACCCAGCACCAACCCCCAGGACTGGCTTAACAAAAAGCAAACTTTGACAAACAGCCAGGTACTTGTGTGTATGTATGTGTATGTAATTACTTTTTTTTGATTAATTGTGCTGAATAGAATAAATTTAGTGGTGAACTGTTGTAGAGGGTGATGAGGTTGGAATATGCTTTAAATACTAATTGAAGATCAGAACAAATACTGTGTTAAAACAGTGGTCTTCAGGTAATTTAGAGATGATGGGTAATTGTAAACAGTTTAACATCCTTTTTGTGATGTACATAAAACTAAGAATTGTGCTAATTGTAGCAAGAAATGTTAACATTGTGCTTTTTGGATAGGCTCCCTCCCAGATCTGCAATTTTAATATCAGTAACATCTGGGGCAACTTCAAGGGCTTGGAAAACTGGCTCCACAAGCAAGATATTTCTGAGAAAAGGAGCCCCCCAAAGTGGAATAGCCCCTTCTCTACAGAAATAGAAAAAGGGGCTAGCCTAGAGCTCCCTGAAGAAGAAATGGATCTTTCTGATTGGCTGGTTACCTCTCCTGAGCCTCAGAATGGCAACTTGGAAAGAGATGAGAAGTCAAAGCTTTTCCAACTTTTCAAGGAAGATTATAATGCAAATGATTGGCTTCTCAAGCCTGGTTCCTGCACCAATTGTCAGGGCAACCAGCCCAAAGGTGTAGAGATTGAAAATTTGGGAAATCTGAAGTGCCTGAATGAGCACCTGGAAGGAAAGAGGCCATTGCCCCCTTCCCCCACACCAAGTGAAAATTGGATTGTCCAGCATCATCAAGTTCCCTTTAAAGTTGAGGAGGTGTGCAAAGCTAATGAGCCCTGCACCAGCTTTTCAGAGTGTGTGTGTGAAGACCAGTGTGAGAAGGAGGCCTTGTGTAAGTGGCTCCTCAAGAAGGAAGGGAAAGATAAAAATGGTGTCCTGGTGGACCAGCTACCACTTCTGAAACCTGAGCTATTGAAGCTGAAACCTTCCTTGAATATGTGGCTGTGTCCCTCTAGGGAAGAGGCAGAGGAACAGGCTAAGACACCAAAGCCAACTCCTTGTACAATTCCCGAACCTCTCAAAATTTTGCTGGACAGCCCCTTGTCAGATTGGCTTGCCAAAACAAAACCCAAAGCAGTAAGAGCACGAGAAACAACCAGTCCAGATGACAAAGCTAGTCAGGAGGGGTTGTCACCAACCAAACAAATGCGTCCTAACTCCATGACCATTTGGCATCATCCAATTAATGCAGCTGATTGGATATTGCCTTCAAAGAGTACGGGAAGTTCTAGCCAGCCGCCTGGAGAAGATAAGTGGTTACTTCGAAAGAAGGCCCAGGTGAGCATGGGCTTTGATAAACTCTGATAGAATGGTCAGAGACACTCTTTTATCCATGCATTTAGAACTTTGTGTTTTTTATACCAGTTTTACAGTAAGTGAGGGTATTGAGTAGTAATTGACATTTTCATATCACTTTAAGGACTTATAAAGCTCTTCAGTTTGGCAGCCTGTAAGCTGAATTGTACAAATCTTATAATTCATTTTACATATGAAACTAAGGATCAGGATTCTGTGATTTGCTCTTTATCAGTCACACATCTAGCTAACAAGTGTGGCATATTGCTAATGGACTAGTAACTACTGGTATTACTTTGATTTAGATTATTCTCTGGTTTCTCTTTTCTCATTTGGCAGCTATTTCCCTTCCCTTGAGAACTCTGCACATTCTAAAATGGGTGGGATAAATAAAGCCAGTTCATTTTGTTAATTGTTATTTCTGATAGAAAAAAAGATTGGTTGGACACCCATTAATTTGGCTTACCTGAACAGAACAAGTAATCGAGAGTTTATTTCAGCCTTCCATTTCTCAGTCGTTGAATATTAACCTCTCTTATTCGTACAGGAAGCATTCCTTAATTCACCCCTTCACGAAGAACATGCCTTTCCCCAGGACCGTTATGGCTTGCCCGCAGTTTGTGATCTTTTTACCTGTATGCAGCTTAAAGTTGATAAAGACAAGTGGTTGTATCGAACCCCTGTCCAGGTAGGTCTCCTCAGATGTGAATGTTACCATCAATGGCTGAAAACTGCGAGCTGATAAATCAGCTTGCTCTAAGTGTTTATTTGCAGTCATTCCAAAGAACCAAAGATAAATTGTTATGATTTTATGTTCACTCACTCACTTTTACGACATGAATAGCTAACAAACTCTTTGTCAGGATGATCTTTCAGGATGGCTTAATTACCTGTAGGGAGATCTCTGTCACTCAAAAGTATTTTAACTTTTAATTTAGATATAATCCTATTTGCTGACACTTTATCATTTGTTGAAAACATCGTCAGATTTAATCTGTTAATCCTGTTAAGACTTAAATTTGCTTAACCACAGGAACAGACTGAACTCTACCCAGAGCAGTCTCACAATCCATCCCTCTGATTAGGTTGTTGTTCAGCTGTGCCCATTTCTTTGTGACCTCATTTGGGGTTTTCTTGGCAGAGATACTGGAGTGGTTTGCCATTTCCTTCTCCGGCTCATTTGACAGATGAGGAAACCCAGGCAAACAGATTGAAGTGACTAGTCCAGGGTCACACAGCTAGTGTCTGAGGCTGTATTTGAACTCCTGTCTTCCTGACTGCAGGCACTGAGCCTCTGATAGGTGACAGTTCTGTTGTAGTGTTTGGTAAAGTGGACCTGATTAGTTTCATAAGCTTTTAGATTTAGAGCTGGAAGGGGGACCCTCGGTGGTCATCTAATCCAACAGTGTTTTTAGAAACATTGTAGAGGTTATAGATTTTTTTTTTTGGGTGTTGGTGGGGAATGCCTTCAGTTTGTGACTTTTGCTACTATGAGTCATGTTTTTAGACTTCTGTTACCTTGGGCAATTCAGTTATCTTTCCTGGGCTTTGGGAATGGACCTATCATACAGAGGGTTCAAAGGATGTGTACAGCAGCATTTAAGAAGACATTAGCTATCTGCTATAATAGTAGTATGAGAAAAAGTATGTGATAAAGTAACCATATGAGTCAAGTCTGAGTAATTTGAACTATTTCTCCTTCCCCGTAAACCTGTCCCCTCCCCAGATATGAGGAAACATTTAGAAACCAAGGAATCTTCCTGCTGATCATCGCACATCCATGAACCAGCTGACTGCAGCTTGCTGAATCATTGTGTTTCTGGAACTTACTAGTACTGTGTTGTGTTTCTTTTATGCCAAATTTTGAACTAGTGAGATTAAACAATAACATATTACTGAGTTAAACTAAAAAGGAAAGCCCACTTGTGAAGAGTACACACATTTTTAACTAGTAAGCGCTGCATCAGGGTGCCTACCCTTTACAAAGACCTCTGCATCTGCCATTTGGATTGTCTTGGGAAGCATACAATGAAATTTCCAAATGAAGTCACTTTTTCTTAACATCCAAGTGCAGCTTTCTTAACTAAAAGTATTGCCCTTTCTGCAGATTTTGTCTAATTATTTTTCTCGCTCTGGATCCTGTCTTAGTGGTCATCAATGATTATTTTTCTGGTATGTAGTTTTACTATTATATTCCATGTATAAACTAAATTTACCAGTATATTGAAGTGTCTCACTTTTTAAAGGGTAAACTCATTAGTCCAGAAACTAAAAAGTAGAATGTCTGCTTTTTTAGCCTCATTGTTAGCTCTGCTCAAGTTTTTTTCCTGTTGGGAAAAATTGGAAATCTTCTCTGCAGGTTACTGGGCTGTCTGGTTATCTTAATGCCCTGTTATTTTATTCATTTGTCAAGATAGAGCACAATGCATATTGTGGATAGTATGTAATGCAATAAATTGCATCTCATTGTGTGATTTTCCTTGGAGTTGAAAGTATTTTAATAGCCAAACTGTCAAAATTGGTTGATTAGTAGAATGAAAAGACAAGTGTACTCAGTATTTGGCTTGCTGTGGTTCCATTATACTTGAACTATCCAAAGGGATTGTTGGTGCATCCTGTGTAATAGGAAGATCTCGTACTGCAGCACTATAGTAGACACGACCATTTCAACTACGAGCAAATGAAATGCTAGCTGTCATAAGTGCTAGCTGTCATAACATATAGGATACAAAGATAATTTTGGTTTAAGTCCATAAAACATCTTAGTAGATTGTCTTGACTACTTGTGCCTTGGAGCATTTATTTATAAAAAAATTTGTGAAACATTCCCTTGAATGTCCTTAAGTCAAGCTCAAAAACATTGTCCTTATTAAGAACAAAGATTTGCTATTTTTACATTCTCTCAATAGGGAACTTACAAAGTCTTTCTTCCCTCTTCGAATTTTAATTTTTGGAAATCCTTAGCCTCCAACTGGGTTAGGGGACCTCTAGGAGGGTCACAAGCTTCCTGAGAGTGCTCTGGACCACTCCACTAGAAATAATTTTGTTCTATGTCTAGATGTGTATCAGCATCTCTACAAATGTTACATAGTCCCACCCAGCTGATTCTAGATCCTTTAAATTAACTTAATATCTTAGGCTCTTAGAAACTTTGTAGACTTTACTGTTACTCATTTATTCCTCTCTTGACGATATACTATTCAGTCTGTAAAACACCGTTTGCAGTAATGCATTTTATACAGTTGCTGATGATCCTCATTAAAAGCATAACCACCACAGTTGTCTTGTGTTATCTGTAAAGTTTGTCTTATTTTTAAATTACTTTGCACATGCTGATTAAAACTTGTAGTAACAACAGAAGCTTCCAGGAGGGAAGATTAATTATATGTCTCTTAAATTTTTAAGTTCTTTATTCTTATATTTCCACACATCACATCACAACCATGAACCAATAAAACATTAACTGCAAAATCCCAATGTTTTGCTTAAATTGCTTACTGAGCCTTGGTTGTGACAGACGCCTTAAAATGGTACACATCTTTATTCTGATGTTACAGCTTTTGGTTCTAGAACACTCTTTATTGGAAATAAAGCAGTGTATTATAGTTCACAATAAATCATTAAGTGAATTAACTTGGTGGGTATGATGCTGACAATTATGTGACCTGAATCTGGGAATAAATCTTATTTCAAAAATTCAGGGGTAGTGGAGAGTGGACATGCAGCAGAAAGTTTTCAAAGGAGAAAACGATGACTGTGCTACTCAATGAGGCATCAGATGCTTTTGGCTCCAACACTACTGGCTGGAAGAAGTGCCAGTCCTGGTAAACTGTGCCAGTGATCTTCATGACAGTACAAAAGATCCTGTTATTTTTTTTCATACTAAATGTAGGTAGATCAGAATATTGCCCCAAATTGATTTTTACAAATCAACCTGGGGAACTTTTGATGTGTCCTCTATCCATTCAGTTCTCAGTATAAGCTCTAAAGTGACTGTTGTGTCAAGGAACCTTTCATGTGCTCCCAGTTGTTATACAATGCATACAGGCTAGTAAGGGTTAGTCCTGTCAGACCACCTCTTGCTACTCCACGAAGACCACCTGGAAGAAAACAGTAAAAGAAACATTTTAGTATCATGGAATAACAGCGATATACCTCCCCCCTCCCCCAACTAGGGATGACCAAGGTGACCAAAGTTAAGCAAAACCAAGCTGCATCAATCACATCTGAAAGCATGGACAGCATTCCATAACCATAGTCCCTTATCTTTTCTTGGGAGCTAAGCTTGGTCATTATAAAGGGAGAAAGTTTAGTGTCAAAATTAAACTCAAAAACCCTAAAACTAAAAAACTTAAGTTGATGTTAAGTCCAAGAAGATAATGAAAACAGACACAAACACAACTGTTACCTTTTAAAAGGTAACCTTTCTGAGATATTTTTCCATTGACCCTCTGTTTGAGCAGTCCAATTTTATTTACTTCTTGAGTGTCAGCAACAGCACTGGATAAGAGCACTCTTAGGGTAGCACTTACAAAGACTGCTTATCTGCTGCATAAGCCTGAGGACTTTTGGGGGTGGTGTGTATAATCACAATTTTGGTGACACTGGAGGCCCTATAAGAGATTAGGCAAGTCTTGGGTTTCCAAAACTACTTTTTTCCTATTACCCTACTAATGTGAGTCTGACAATTATAACTCAATTAGTATTTTAAGAGGCCTTTTGACATTGCACTACTTGCAAAACACTCAAAAGGACAAGACTCCAAAATGCATAAGGCAAAGGAAAAGGTATCTTGAATGTCACATACTTGTTTTGACCTTAAAATGCCAACCTCATAAAGTAAAACTAATAAGAAGGAATTAGGGAAGACAAGTAATGAAGAGTTATTTCATTTAAAAAACCAATACAATAAAATTTTGTAAGGCTCAGCAGAGAAATCTTACTAAGTAACTTTCTGATATAAAATATCCCAAAGTCAAGAATATGCTTACAGTTAAAACTTGTCACTTTCTTGTTCACTTATTTTCCTCTGGTTTGGTCAAAGTCCCTACAACGAAATCTTGTTCTGTTTTATAAAATGGAGGTGACCCTGAGTTCTTAATGACTATGCCTGTGGAGCTCCAGCTTGGGCAGGTCCTGAAAAACTTGAAAGGTTTCAAGCACGGGCTGTACAGAGGATGAGTCTCACTATGTTTAGGGAGATTCAATAGCTTTGCCACAGTTTAATGGATTTTTGGTGGGGGCAGGAGAGCTCTTAAAGGTGATTTACTAATGTTATAGAAGCATTGCAATCTGTGTTAGAAGAGGGACTACAGACACCCACATGGACAAAATTACTGATTCTTAAAACAGTGGTTCAAGCTGCAGCCTAATTTTTTCAAGCCATGTACTTTAAAATATCTGCAACACATTCATGTGTTAAAAGAACATGGATGGCTTAAAGAACATGGATGGGGCACAAAAGTATTTTCCATCCAGGAGTTTCTGGAGTTTTCATATAGGACTACTGACAGAATGTTTCCTTTAAAAAACAAAACCCAAAACTACCCCCCCCCCATTAACAAACATCAGCCTTCTCTCCTCACCCACTTACCCCACCATGGAAAAGAAAAAAAAAACTAAAACCTTTCTAACAAGCAAAACAAATCCCTTTATCAGCTATGCCCAAATAATATGTCTCGACTGAACCCTGAGTCCATCACCTTTCTGTCCAAAGGTAAGCTGCATGTTTCATCATCAGTCTGTTGGAACAGCGGCTGTTCATTATGTTGATCAGAGTTCTTAGGTTTTTCAAAGTTATCTTTACAATGTTGCTTTTATTCCAGTTCTTTGCCACCATAAAAAAGAGCTGCTATAAATATTTTTATACATACAGGTCCTTTTTCTTTGATCTGTTTGGGGTATACACCTAGTAACGGTATTGCAGGGTCACAGGATAGGTATAGTTTTGTAACTTTGTGGGCATAGTTCCCACTGCTTTCCAGAATGGCTGAACCTGTTCCCAGCTCCACTAACAGTGCATTAATGTACCTGTTTACCCACTACCCCACTATCATTTGTCATTTTCCTTTTTTTTTTTTTGGTTAATTTCACCAATCTGATGGGTGTGAGGTAGAATCTCAGAGTTGCTTTAATTTTCATTTTTCTAATTATTAATGATTCAGAACACTTTTTTCATATGGCTATTAATAGCCTGGATATTCATTTCTAAGATATTTTATCTTTACCTGAAGAGATGCTAAAATGAAAGCCCACAGGAACAGGAAGTCAAAAGAAGCTTTGTTTAAATTCTCTATGTACTTTTACATATCTCTAAATAAACTGGGACTATTTGTTCCAGTTAGCTCTTCAATGTTAACTGTGGAGTGTTTTGAGCTAAACAACAAACATATGATAGTTTAAAGGCAAAATGGAGTTTATATCCAGATTTAGTTAAGGCCCTACTTATAAGAAACCCATATGCCAGATAGTAACCAGTAACAGTTTGTGAACTTAGCTGAGTTGCGGAGCAGAAATATTTCAAAACAGACACAGTCCACTTCCAGAAGGGTTGCACTTACAGCTGGATTTATAAGATAGATGAAAGGACCACTCCTTTCAGCATTCACCCTGGTTCTGCCAGCTTCTGATAGCAAACCCGCCTCAGCTCTTCTTGGACAGTCTCAAATTTCATTATCTCCCCCTCTGCAGAAGCTACAGAATTCAATTTTCAATAGCTTTCAAATTTACAGGTAGGATTAGGAAATTAACCAACTGGTAAGAGCCAGAAAAAGTGGCATATGAAAAGCATATCAGTCTATTAAAGTAGGAAGACACTCCTCCAAATCTGTACTCTTTCTTTATGTTACAGAGTTTAAGCCTGGTGGGTACATTTGCTATGATCCTCTCAATGCCACTGAAAAAATGATAAATACTGAAGAATCATATATGCATATTCCAGCTGCTACCCTAAAATAGTTTTATTCATTTAATAAGGATTTACTTGGTGTACCTTTGACCTGCAAACCATTAAAAAAAAAAAGCTAGGATCACTGGAAATGTGTGTAAATTTATCTTACTTTGTAAAGAGGCAATAAGCTGGAGAACATGGGAATAAAGCCATTCAGACATATGAAATGAGATTAATAAGAACTAGTTTAGTCATCAGATAATAGTTCTAAGTCATTTGCATGGAACTGTGCAGTGAAAACTACTTGGAGCTAAAAAATACCAAAAGGGGAAGTGCTACAGATCATTTTGCTTCTAAATAAACACTCACAATAAGACTGAATTCCCTGAACCTTAACCATTATGGCTAAACTGGATTAGTCTTTAAGTCTGACCACAGGCCTGAACAGAATCTGCACATATAATAAAGTAATTATCGTTTGCATAAGAATTGGACTTTGATCCTTACCAAAGGATGTTATTCTCCTTGGTCCCTGTGGAAAAGTTTTAAATCGACGGAAACAATAAAAAAACAAAAACAATGATGAAAAATATATATCAGTGCTTTCTTATGTGTGATAGGAACCAAGAAGTTCATAAAACATTGAGGCTTGTCTCTTATTAAAGGAGTTTTAAGTTTCCCTTTTGAGCATAAGTTAACCTCTGGAAAGCTTGCTACTTCATGGTAAGTGAATACAGCTAAGCTTAAATCAATAAAACTATTTCTTTGGAAGCAGAAAGGAAAAAGAAAAAATTTTGCCTAAGAGGCTGTAACAATGGATTGTGCAGTGAGAGATGTCACATACTATATGCAATGCAAACTACAGTCCTGGATACATGTTGTGGAAAACTCTTGGAAGCAGGCAAGCACCTGGTCTATGTTTTAAAGGCCCAAGCTTTAATGATTTCACCTCCTGGAGCCCATCACTGTCGCTACCAAACTCATCTGCCTGAAACCTTGATAAGACAAGCCCCAAGGCAGACACTGTGGCTGTGTCCCCTTCCCCTGTGTTTTAACCCACAGATATTTAAAGTGGGGAATAAGCCCTTCAACAACTTGGCTTAAAGTGTCAGCATCTTCACTCTGTGCTCTCAAGATTTATGGGAGATCAACAGAAATTTCCCCTCTGGAAACTGTTAATGTGTCCCATAATGCAGCCTAGCTCAAATGACAACTGTTTTTAACAAGCTACAAGTCTGTCTACAAGTACAGTTGCTTCAAACATCGAGAAATTGCACATGGCTGTTCTCCAAAGGTCAATCTCCCCTGAGCAAAAACAATCTGGATATTAACATATCCTCAGGGCTAGCTCTGAAGGTAATAGTAAATTTGATTTCAAAGATTATCTATTTCTCAGGATTTGGGTATTTTAGAAACCCAAGTCTCATTCAGGAAGGAATAAGGTTTCCTCCTGTCTCTTCACACAACAGTCAATCTCATCCACAGGGTAATTTAAACAAACCATCTCACAGAAATTTCCATTTATAGAACCACTCCTAATTCTTGCCCCTTTAAGAAAATATGAGTGTGCTTTAATATAGGCAGACTATTTCCCAGAAAAATATATGGAACATCTTGAAGTAACAGCGCCCATTTGGAATGTAAAGAATGATTTCTCTCTTCATTAGGATTTCAACCAGAGGATTCAGGGCAGGTTGCTTAGAACTATTAAGTGGGTTATAATCCCGTTCAAAGCCAAAGCAGCAACTCCCTTCAAAACCACACAATAAAACCCAACTTTGGTATTTTGGATGTTGTAATGTAAATAGATTACCACCAACACTCACATGGCTGCTAAGTAGCACTATGAAAGATGCAAAAATCATGTGTTTGTTAAATCACTTAATTATTTATAGTTGTACTTGGTACGGAGAATGGATAACTGTTTGTTGGAGATGTCACAAATCCTTACATAACTCCAACAGTCTATTCAGACACATGTGTCTGTATACTCATTCCTTCCATTAACATCCTACTCTGACACTTCATCAGGGTGTGGGGGGCCATTTAGCTGGACTGAAAGCTCTGGCCATGTAGACTAAGCTGGGAAATCTCAGATCAAGGACCAGAAAACATCTGTCTCCCAACAAATTTTTCTTGTCATATAGGAAATATCTCATCAAGAATAACTAAGGGACAGCTAGGTGGTGCACTGGATAGAGCACCACCCAG